GGGACTCCACAGTTCAGCTCCTGAGCTACACATATTCGCCTCCATTGCTACAACTATATATCTCTAGCTTGACTCAGTGTGTGATACCTACTGTCCTACATACTGCAGTTCCAAACAGTCAATAAATGCATCAATACAATCATGCCAAATATATCATGGCAAAAAGGAAGACCGAAGTACTAAAAGAACACAAAACTTGGAAAACGAGCAAAGGAAGCTAATCCACATGCCAGACAATGAAGAAATCTGTTTGCCAGTAGTGAAATTTCTAACCAGACATGTCTAAACTTGCAGAAGTATTCTTCACTGATCCAATTATAAATCTGAAAGCAAATAATCATTGCTTTCTTGATTTATAATTCTTAGTCACCTCTATTCATTTTATAATACTTTTTAGTATTGCATTTATATGGTTTTACTGAGTGCAATAAGTTGACATATGCAATTTGTTGACAATTCAGATCTGGCTTTGACAGTTTATGTAACGTGGTAATATCCACAGGTAAACTATTTATCATTGCATTTCTAAGATCTTTCTGTGAAGGAAAAGAGAGAGAGAGAGAGAGATAGAGAGAGAGCGCTTTTAGAAATAGGAAAACTAAGGAGAATTCAACAATTTGCTTACAATGTAATATCAGACATGTCTAGTCGGAAGTATCACTGAGTTCAGTAGAGCTTATTTTTATCTAAGTGCTACAACTCTAATTCTGACAACCTTAGAGATAATTTGTTTTAATGGTTATCAGAGGATTAAGTTTCTTAACTGAAATTGATAATATTTTATTGATGTATTACATTTACACCCTATCTTTCTCCCAAGAAATAAGAGAGTATATCCATGTTTTCCAGGCTGCTTCCCATCCAGCTGGCTACTCTGACTTATAACTTAGATAGGATTGCTATGCTGTTTCTTTGTTATGTTCACTGTCTTTTATCTATATTGTTGGGGTATATAGTGAAAACAATGCCATGAAGATTTACATTACCCCACCTTGGCCTACTGAATGCATCTTAGACTTGTACATATTATTAAACAATTTATTATAAAAATGTCAAGTTTTATTCACCATAAATGCCCCTATCCTTCCACACACACAAGGTTTCTTTCCTTAGGTATTACACTTATAAAAATGTAATATATACAAATGATATTTTTATGAGAATCTCATCTTTTACAACATTTGAACCATTCTGAATCTCTTCCTACTCTTCAAAATTTCATAGGATGTTTCCTAGGGCAGATGGAAATTCTCTCAACAATGCTGGAAACTCCACTTTTCTTTTAGAGCCTAAGCACCGCCCCTTATCCACCCCCATGGATAACCCGAGCAATTATTTCACTTGTGCAAGGAGTTTAGCTAACAACATGGAGCTTATTATTGTCCAGGAGCCCTCCATTTATGCCGAACTAAAATTCCTACTAATGTCTAGAGCTACTAGGAATTGTGATCTAATCCTTTTGGAAAGCACCAAATTTGGCAAGACAGTTCTCAAATGTTATGTGGAGGCTAAAGATACAGATTCAGAGCAAGTAATAAGTTTCTAAGGCAATAATAGTATCCATAAGGAAGTTCACAAGTATAATAAATGAGCTGTGATTGGTCATGTAGCACTTAACACACAAACTGTATCCAGGTCTCAAATGAAAGATGTGAATGCACAGAGTGCAGTATTTCCCTACTGAAGGGAAGAGATAAAAAGAAAATATTCCTATCCATAGTAAATTATCAAATGAGACTAGAAAGATAAACTGAACTGTTTTCCTGATAATTTTCTATTTGATGGTATATTCAATTGTTTGAATTTGCTCTTCAGCCTGCAGATGATATAGTTATACCCAGGTATACCAATGCAGGGAAAATGTAGTGTATGGCTATCTCTCGGATATTTTAGACTTCCTCCCTAGACAAGGAATTCTAGTTCAAAAATCTGGAAAGCCATCAAATTTCCTACCCTAAACTTAATGCTTTGGTTAGAAAAGCTGTAAACATTTTGGCCAGTATTTCTTTTATTTTGGAATTAACATTGCTGGAGAAGGATGGTATTTCTCCATTATTCCTTTCCAAATTATTCAGCAGGACACAGAAAAAAAGTTTACAAAAAGTATCAAGAATCTTCCTTCAAATAAAACTAATCCTAGATTCAGATTGATCTAAATCATCATGTATAGATTTTTTGAACTCAGGCTCCATTTGTGCTAATGTCCAATAAAATATTTCATTAGGCACAAGGATCCAAGCACAAAAAGCATAAAAAAAATGCAACTATGATTTCACCCCCAGCTACTTGCAGATCTGGGGCACCACAATATTAGATCCAACATACACATCTTCTTTCCAAAAGACCAGTGACTTCAACAGATGTTCAGTGTAAGCAGAGATGCTCTAGAGGACCCTACCCTTTTAAGCTCATTGTTAAAGGATTCTGTGCTTTCCAAAAACTTCCTCTTCTTCTCTTGATGACGTTCTTCTATCTGAAGGAGTTCAGCTTCTAGTTTACGCTGTGTGGAGGGAAAAATGAAAATATACAGTGAACAAACAAAATACACATTAGTTGAAATATACTGGTATAGTTGACTGCTGGGAAAGGCCACGAACAAGGGAAATTGACTTTATTTTTTGCAACACAACAGTAGATCTTTAATGCTTTGCAAATTGGAAAACAGAAACTTGACTCAAAGGCTGTATGTACCACCTTTAAGGCTTTGTACACACTGTAAAAATGTTATTTGTGCTTCAAAATAAGGCAAATATCCATGCATGATTATCTGAACACTTGAATCATGCTTTTCAGATCTTTCTAAAATGCACGGCAAATGATATATCTATCATGCCAAAACCTGTCCTGCATTTAGAAATCCTGCTCACATGGATCAGTAGTAGTATGGCTAATCTGAATTTACTTGAGGTCTATAGAAAAGTGCTCAAGATGGGGTTTTATAAAAACTATGCAAGTGTATATCAGGATCTTTCTGATATGGCTTTCAACACTGTGGAACAAGACATTCAAGACCAGATAATTCAGAATAAGCCACTTGCTTTCTGTTCTAAATATTAACAGCAAGAACATTAAACCCACAAATCTATCAATATCAGGACTTTAACACACCTGTAGAAAACTAGGTTCTGCTATTTCCATGCTAATGAAAAAGTGCAGCAACATCTTTAGAAACAGCAACTTCTAGTTTCATTTGATTCTGTAGATGCATTTTTGTGACAGAGCACAGAGTGTACAGAAATATTTGAATAGTCCACACCTTTTTGTTATACCTGATCTCCCAAAAGATATCATCTGAGGTACTTAGGTTAAACCTCACCCCTTATTCCTCCTAAAGGCAAGTCAGAGAGAGGTGAGCTCTATGAACAGAATTATTCATAGTTTTAGCATGTGTTTTCAGATGTAAGAAGTAATTTGGGGAATAACTCAAAATCTGCTTCATTGAAACTGCACTCATGCTCATAGGAAAATGTTCTTGCCTATTTGAAAGAATGAAACAATATGAAAGTTTTAATAGTGGACAAGAGTTACAATCCTTCATGAGGAATAGAAAGAAAATTCAACCAATGAACTCCCCACTTTTTTTCTAAGAAAGATAAAAGATCTGTTGCTTCTCCACCTTGCATATCCTGATCACTGATAGAGCCTATACCAACAAACTGACAGATTTAACATTTATAAATTATGGGAGACAGAGTACTGCTGTTTTGTTTAAAGAACCTTTGAATCCAGAATTTTACATATAGGGTTTTTTGCATTGCATTCAAACTGCCTGCAATCTCTAAATGTTGGTCTCTCTCATTATCTCTTTACTATTACTCTTTGTAATTCTCCACTTTTCCTTAATATTCAGTCTGGAGAAAAAGAAACCTTGTTCACAATTTTATAATAATTTATTTAGTTCTAACAAAGATATTATGCTGTAATGTGGGGATTTTTCTCCTAATATATCAGATATAGCAAGACTTACTGTTTCAAAGTTTCTGCCATTTTTTTGGCTTCTGGCCTTGTTCTGTATAGGTGAGCATGGTATTTTATTTGATTTACAGCCCAGTTGTGTTCTAATTAGTCTATCCCATGATAACTTATGCAGAACCCAGTACTCCAGAATCTTGCTTCCTACAGATCTCTGGCCATTAAGAGTCTGTTGGAATAAAACATTTTTCTTCCAGAAAATGTGTATGTTGGAATAAAAGCATTTTCTTCCAGAAAATGTG